AATCCCCTTTTAATTATTTAAAAGGTTTTGGAAGCTCTGGGTATGAATCGTGCCTGGGTCGGCGCAGCAAAACGGCTTGCGACGCGTGAGCACGCTGGGTTTGCACTCACATGTGTCGGCCGCAACCCTTCTCTCGCCGCCCCTCATGGCTACGGCTTCGACTCCGGCCACGGCGGCGTCTTTGCGGACCTGGCCCGCCAGGCGGGGGCAGGCCCTCCCCTCGTCAACTACCTGACTGACGGCGAAAGGCTTGGACCGCACGGCGACCCTCGCGCTGATCGTCGACAACGTCGCCGACTTGGTCCACCAGGTCGTGGAGCCCTTCACGGCGGGGTGCACCATCAACGGCGTCAACCACTTGGCGCAGCCCGAGCACCACGCCACCGTCAGGGCCATCATCACCCACATGTGGCGGGAGGCGCGCAGGCAATGGGACATCGCCATGGTGACGCCCCCGCCCACTCCGGCACCGTCCTCCACGCCAACGACGACGGTGACTTTGACGGGCATGGCGGTCGACTCCGACGACAAGATCCCGAAGACGTTTGCCCACTGGGCCACCCAGATCGACGTCTACAACAACCGCCGCGGCGCTTCCCCGAGAACATGCTCGCCGGCGCGGAGTCCGTTCTTGCCAGGGTGTGGCGTGAACACACCAAAACCAAGGCGTACACGCCGATCAGCCTTGGCGAGATCCTTCAAAAGCGGCTGTTCACGGCGTCTGGCGACGTCAATCCGCTGACTCTGCCCAGACAGGGCTCCTCGGCGACAGCCGGCCAGGCGCTGCGGCTCGTGAACGGCGAGGTGCTCCGTTGAGGACCCCCAGTGGGCGCCCCGGTCGTTGCTGGCGATTATCGACGGTGTCGACGCGGCCAGGTGGGCCCTCATACTCGTCGAGGTCGGCAAGGAGGAGGACATTAACGCATTCGCCGACTGGTTCGTCGCCAAGGTCCGCGGCAATCCGACCGGTGAAGCGGCTGTGGCTGAAAGCGTCGTGGGCCATAGCCCTGGAAATGCGGGCCGGCAAGACGTTCAAGGAGATGGCCGCCGAGGTCGTGGCCGACACGGCGATGGTGAACGAGGCCATGGCGTACGTCGAGCCGGCACCGAAGCGCAGCCCCGCCAACGGCAGCACCAACGACGATGACTTCCAGCCCAATGCGCCGCGCTGCGCCCGCGGCAGGGGTCGCGGCGGGAACCGCCAGTATAGGCGCAGGAACGATGACGACGACTACCAAGGCGGTCGCCGAGGCGGAGGCGGCAACCGCGATCGACGGGGCGATCGTGCAGACGACCGCGACGATCGGAGAGAAGACCGCCGAGATGACCGACGAGATGACCGTCGCGGAGATCGAGACCAAGATTGGCGGCGCGGCGGCGGCAAGGGCTACCGCCAGCAGTACCAGCAGTGGACACACGACGATGATCGGCAAGGCGACCGGCGCCAGTGGGACTCGTGGGGGCAACAGACGGGGCCCACCGGCGGCAACAAGTGTAAGGACGACCGCCGCTAGGGACAGCACGGGGCCTCGTCGGACGACGAGGTACCCGACCCTTCGGCCAAGCGAGTTCGACTCCGACAGCGCGCCCCCGACGGCAGGGAGATCATCCTCCTTTCCTTCTTCAACGGGATCGGCGCGGCGCCCTACATCCTGGACCGGCGCTTCGGGAAGTTGAAGGCGGCCTTCGCGTGGGAGATTGACGGCGCTTGCCGCAGGGTGGTCGAGGAGCGCCTGCCCTGGCTCGGGCAGCGGGGGGACTTGACCAAGGACGGACGACATCGCCGGCGTCGTCGAGCAGGTCGACCCCGACGATGCGGCGATCATCATCATCGCTATGGCGCCGCCCTGCCAGGACTTCAGCCTGATCCGGTCCGACTGTCCTGGGCACAAAGGTAAGAACGGCGGCCTCTTCCTAAAGGCGACCGGCTTTGTCGACGACATCAAGCGGCGCCTGCCGCAGCGGAGGTTCGGCGCTCTCGCCGAAAACACCACCATGCGGAAAGAGGACGCGCAGATCATTTCCGACGAGCTCGACTGTCAGATATCCCGGCCACGTCTATTCTGGATGTCCATCGACTGGTCCGACGTCCGGCAGGACCCGGCGACAGGCGCCCACCTGGTTTGGTCAGTCCAGGACGGCTGGGACCGCCTTCAGCTTGATGCCACACGGCCGTCGACTGACGACTTCGACCTGGCCGGCCCCAATTGTTCCACCCTCGGTCTCCTCCGGCAGGCGGTGCATGCCATGCTCCACCACGCCGGCGCCAGACCGGCGCCTCGCATCCATTCCGCCCAACCCGACAAGCGGCACTTCGCGCCTTGGCACTATGTCAGGGAGGCGCTCATGGAGGCCGGTTGGTGGTGCCTCCCCCCGACGTCAAAGAGCAGCTCCACGGCATCTGCAAGGGGTTCACCGACGCCATTGGCTGATAGGAAATGGTTGGCACTGGGGTTGTGGCGACGCGGCTCTTGTGCATGCTAATGGGACACACCTCCGCAGCACCGGCGGCAGCGGAGCCGACCGTGCCAGCGGCGCCACGCCGCTCCACCATCGACTTCGTGGCATCCTCAAACCGGGCTTTGTATGGCCTGCCGGCTGCCGCCGGCACTGGTGGCCGCACCGGACAGCTTGCAGCCGACATGGTCCACCCCACGGCGCAGCCGTTCGAGCCAGCGTGGGATTCTTGCTCGTCGTCCAGGGCTGCCTCACCGCCGCCGGTCGGTGCTTAAGCCACTCGTCGAGGTCCTCCTCGCCCTCCTCGATGAGCTGCTGGATTTCCTGCCAACCTTTGGCACCCCCGACAAGGACCGGCCCACGCTGGTCCTCGTCCTCCTCGACCTGCGGCGGCGTCACCGACGACCTCACCAACGGCTTCGACATGGTGGGCAAGGTGCGACCGGGCCCGGGCTGGCGCAAACGCACCGACGGCCGGTGCAACGACCCCAAGCACATCCAAGACAGACGTGTGTCGGCGGAACCGGCAGTATGTGCACAGCCGGCTGCAACGCCCCGCCCCGTCGGAGTACGCCGAGCAGCTGCTCGAGGAACTGGTCGACGAGCAGCGGCTGGGCAGAGTGGTCGGCCCGTTACGGGCACCGCCTTGCCCCGCGTCAGCGGCTGCGACGTGCTCCTCGACGCCCCGGCCGACCAGTTCCTGGCGGCAGCGTCCTTCCCGATATAGTGCAGGAGGACGAGCAGGGGCGAGGCGACGCTCGGGACACAGTGCAGCCATGGAAGCAGACGACGTGCCAACACATCACACCGTCGGCGACTTTGTCGACCTGGCACGGCGCTTGGCCGAGGAGAGCACCGACCTGCTCGCCTTCGGCCACGACATGCTTAACGCATACCGGCAATGGCCGGTCCGGCGGCCGGAGCACTGCGCCACGTTTCTGCCGACAGCAGCAGGGGTGACACTCTGGAGGCTGCGGGACTTCGACGATCTCGCCGACTCCGCCAGACCAAGCCGAGCAAGGCCCAGCCGCCCGCCAAGCAGCAGGTGATACAGGGCGTCCAAGTCCACCTCGGCGCCGACGGCGTCGCGGCGCCGCATCCTCAAGCTCCAGGCCATTATTCGCGAAGTGCTGGACACCGGCGTCCTCGACCCGCCGGCCGCACAGCGTCTCTCCGGCAAGCTCGGCTTCCTGACCCAGGCGGTGTTCGGCGCAGTGGGGCGGGCGGCCATCCAGCCCATACACAAGAGGGCGGCGCAGCCGGCAAGGACGGACGCCAACCTTACGCCGAAGCTGGTGACGCGCTCCTCGCGTCGGCGGCGCTCCTGGATCACATTCAGCCCAGGTTCATCCCATACGGCGAGCCCAGGCCGACCCAAGCCACCATCTTCGCGGACGCGTTCTTCGTCGACCGCGGCCGTCAGATCAAGGCGGGACACGTTGCCGACGATGCCGGCCGACACCAAAGCCAGCGGCGCCGCAACGGTTGGGGCTACGTCGCGCACATCGGCGACCAGGTCTTCTATGACTTCGGCGAAGCTCCGGCCTGGTTCCTCGACGTGTTCGCGGAGCGGAAGGCCTTCATCTACGCCCCGGAGATCCTCGCACAGGTCCTGGCCATCGCCACCTTCGCCGCCCGGCTGCCGCCGCTTTGGACGGCTTACATCGATAACGTCGCCGGCCAGTGCGCCCTGACCAAGGGCTACGGAAACAACGGCGCCGTCAACGGCATGGTGGCGGCCATGTGGGGGCTGGCAGCCGCACAAGCATGGGCGCCCCACTTCGAGCGGGTGCCGTCGGCTGACAACGACGCCCTCTCCCGAGGCGACGAAGGAGAAGCCCAACGGCGAGGGTGGACGAGGGTCCACACCCGCCAGGACGAGATCCTCCAGATCCTCTACCAGGCCGGCGCCTCGACGCAGTATGCCACAGCCTCGGCGCCGGCGGAGCTGGTCAACATCGCCTTCTGAGTGCCGTCGCTTTATGGGGGTGGGGGCGCCGGGCGGGTGCGGAATGCGCCCCCGCTCCGGCTGTGTCGGCGATGGATTCGCGACCGACGGATGCGTCGGACTCGCACCCTGAAAAAGGATCCAGCCGGTTATGTTTCTCGCATGCCATTTTGCGGCGTAGTTCGCCGATGCATGTTCGGCTTGAAGACATCTGAGTAGAAGTGTCGTCCGTCCGGTAGCCGCTGGAAGGTTTGCACGGAGTGGTGGCTGCTGGATGAGGAGGACATGGTCATCAGAAGAACAGCCAAGCAACAAGCAAAGTGGCATCTTTTGCCGCGATTCCAGCGTCTGCAGCTGTTTCCGAGCTGATTCCTGCAAGCGGCCAGGAGCAGCGGGAGCTTTACGACGTCATCTTGCAGACCCGCTTCCTGGTGGCAGCAGGAGGCCTGACATTTTTGATCAATGTTTTTTGTGCTGAGGCGATGTTGATGCAGAATGGGATGTGCAGGTGGACAAGATCTTGGAGGTTCCTTGGACTTGCTTCTGGCTGTTCTTAGTGCCAGATGCGCTGCTCGCCAGAAGCATGTTGTTGAGGTTATTGGGCAGCAAAGTGACCTTTGCCAACTGACCCGCTCGCAGTTGCCTGGACGAAAGGAGGTCAGTCTGAGATCTCCTCTGGGGTATTCTGTAACTCCAAACATGGGAGCCATGCGAGCCAAGGATCCGCCTGCAGCGACCACGCTTGGGCCCCTCCATGCGGGAAGCCTGGGCAAGTGTCTGCTATCAGATAGCAGGAGCGCTTGAGCCTCGAGAAGTATCTGCAGAAACTTTACCGGATCAACGCCACAGGTAAACTTTACCTCGCTCTGAGAATATAGATCTTATGATCATGACTTCTTGATGGGTTGTCTTGGCCGTCTTAGCCGGTGCATTCTAAGGTCGCAGCCGCTACTGCAATCAAGGAGCCAGGATCCATGGCCGCAGCTATTGGGTTGCCTTTCCTGCGTTACTAGGCAACTGGTTGTTCCCGTGCCATCACTACAGCATGTTGATTCAACGGCTAATTCTGGAAGTGCAGGTCTTAGACTTTCAGCGAACTCCACCTCGTGGTCTCGCCATGTGCCTCATCTTACGATCCAGTGTCCGTGTGTGCTCATGCAAGCACTGGAATGTGCTCTGACTGAGGGCTCGCCAGTCTGTTTGGGAACGGGAGAGCATCCCAAAGGATCCGCCAAAGAAACCCATTCCCTGGTGGACGCCCAGGCAGAACAGAGAATCGGAGTGATCTGATCCGATCGGATGGGTTTTACTCGCTCAATCGGGGCTGTTTCACTGGGGCCTGCAAGGGGCCCGCCATGCTAGCCTGGACACGGGTTTCATACACTTCTCTGAGTAAGCATTGCTTCAGAGCGGCTTGGAAGCGCGGTTGTGCCTGCAGGCAGGTTCCCTGGGTTGTTGGGCGGCCAATTTTCCCTGGCGAGCAATTCAAGGCCAAGCTCTTCATGCTCTTTGACAGTGTGTCTGCCCGCCTGGATGGTGAGTCATGTGCCACTTTGTGCTTGCTGTGACTGGGTCCATTTCCTAAGTTCCCTTGCAACCTGCTTTCTTACTGGTTAGCTCATGTGTTAAGAAGCTTGGAAAGGCAAAACCTAGAGGTTGCTCTGCAGCCCAGGGACTCCAGGGCGCCTTGGGAGTAGGCCACACTTGGTGCTGCTCTCCCTGCTTTTTCTCGGTGCTTAGCAAGGAACAGAATGGCACACAGTCATGCCTAGAAGGGAATTACAGGGATTCATTCGCTCCCTGTGGTTTTGCTGCGCCATTCTCGTTCTTTCTCGTCGTTGAACATTCCATCTTCTGTCTACCCTACTCTTTAGATATTCTTTTCCTTGCTCTGCTCGCCACCAGCAAATACCAAATCAGTATGGAGACCCCAAGACGGGAACACCATTATGATCATTCGGCAAGGCACCATGTCCAGCCTTTCGATCAGTGGGGCGCTCCCTGGCCTGCAAGGTGCTCATAAAGACCTACAGATTTACTCCGCTCCTGCTGATGGAGAAATAGACTTACAATACCATGTCAGCTGGGGTTATGTGGGGGTCATAATACTGGGTGTTGCCTCCTTTCATCACCTACCTCCCTACCCCTCATAAATACAAAAAACAATCCTCCGGCATTGCATCGTTCTCCACTTGAAGATGGGTACAAAGTGCGGTAGCAGGTCTGGTGGGATGCAAGCCTTCCCTGCACAGCATCCCTAAGAAGCTTGCAAAATCTTGCCCGTGAGGACCCATCATTGGCATCGGATCTGAAGCATGTTTCCAAGTAGTGCGGCCAACTTCTCTATCTGCAAGAGAGATTTTTTTTTCAGAGCGAGAGGCTGTCATACGTTGTGAAGTGGGCATCTCTCTCAGCGCAGATCATTCAATCAGGAGAAGTCAACTCAAGACTTGAGGCTTCTACTTCGAGAACTATCAGCGCTGCCACCCGTCAACTTTCTGAGCTGCAAGCGAGTCGGTTCAGGTTTAGTGTGATGGTATCGTATGATATCCATCTTACCAGAGCATTTGAAATGCTGTCGTGTTCAGGCTGCCCAAGGCATCCTTCTGAAGTCTGCTCATGGTCGACTGGATTCAGAACTGCAGACTCCACACCTTCACCGTGCTACGGGTTTGCTCCAGGATGCACCATCGGTATTCTGACCAAACTATTATGGCTTGGACCATCTGAACAATATCAATACAAGTGCAGATAAGCAAAGTGAAGGTTTGTGCAAAGACGTAGAACTGCATTTTAGCATCATCCGACGACTGACCAGCAGCGCGGCAGAAAGAGTTATGGAAGATAGCGTGACATAGCAAACGCTTTCCATGCCTTTGTGACTTCGGCAGCCGTCACGAAGAGTTGTTTGACGTGGAGACGCTTTGATGCTTAGGTTGGCTTCAGCACGCTACGTTGGTGAATGAGGTCAAAGAGCTCCAGTCAAGGCTAGCAGTCCAGTTTACCGGCCCTTGCTCCTGTGAAATCCAGACGCGTGTCAGGTTGGCCCCGTTAATAACATACGCCTCTCTGACACAGTTACAAAGCTTGCATGGAGAGCTACACGTCTGCCTGGAGCACGCTGTTTTCAGTGCACACCCTTCCAGACGTTAGCAGATGTTGTAGCGATCTCTGCTCAAGAGGGAACTACGAAGATCCCTTTTTTTGCACAAATCAGTACACGTTGCATTCCCAGCCTGGTACCCCCGAATCAAGGCAAACTCGGAATGTCCAGCCTCGTCGGCGCCATGTTCTTCATGCACTGGCTCAAACAACTTTTCTGGCCGCCAAAAGATGATGGTGCCAAGCCCGAGGCACCGTCCGAGTCCTTCGCACAAAGCTTGGCAAGGAACCCCGGAAGCAAGCAGCTCATGTTTTTGGGTTCGTGTTGGCTTCCTAAGATGCAAAGATCATGATCCGCATGCCGCATTGTGTGACCTAAATCGTGAGGGTCGTAATACCCTTAACTCCCGGAGTCCGAGATGTCCTAGACCAGTTGCCATAGCCATGCCCAGGAGCCAATTCCTTTCTGAAGGCCCTCAATCTGCTTGGGCACTGTTATGTCTTCAACCTCCCAAAGACTTTTGAAGACCATGGCATTCTGGGATATTCATGGTATGACTGGAATGGATTTTTGGGGCCTCTGTAGTACAGTCCCAGTCCCACCCAGGCGAGCCGCAGCGGAGCGGGCGAGAAGACTTGCCGAGGTATCCGAAAGCTACCCAAAGAGCTTCTAGGGCTATTTCCAAATGGTAGCATTTCTCGTGGGGAGCCTACGACCCCGAAGACAATGTTTACCTCAGGGTTCCCTAGAAGAACATAGAAGCAACTACTCACACCTTGCGAAGCTCATTCCAGCATGTACGCGTAATACGCGACGGTTGAAATCTGAACTCCATGTGCTAGATGCGTCAATCGATATTACCGAGATAGACGTAAACGCTGCCTTTACAAAGTCATGTTGGCTAGGGTATTGCCTTGAACGGCATGGGCCGTGTTTGGAATTGGTGTTTCTTTGTGATGCTGATTTCTGGTGTTTTAACACCCTTTTTCTTGCTTAGCTACCAAGTCGGCAGCTCTGTGCCCACCCAGCCCGCATGGGCAGCGGCTGCAGTATCTGTTGCAAAAAACATTCAGAGGTTCTCAAACTTTCCTTTTACAGCCATGCAGGGCAACCTCAGAAGTAGTGGTAGAGGAAGCGGTAGGCACAGACTGGACCGCCTTATCAAACCATAGTATTCCAACTGGATGACCTTGGCTGGAAGGATGCTGAACGAAGCAGCAAATGGGTCCAAGAGCAGCTGGGATATTTCAAGAAGGAGCCTTGTCTGCACAAAATGCACAGAATGCACAGAATGCATTGGTGTGTGTATGTGTGACTCGCTCCTGATCAGTCTGCCAGACGGGCAAGGCGTGCGAGACGCAAAGCCAACAAGGCCTGGTGTCCGCCATCCATTGCACCGATAATCTTCCTCACATGCACTTCGAGAGCCGGAAAGATGTCCTCTTCAATGAGCTGCAGCTGGAGCTGGCCGCTTTAGGCTTCTCCAACTTGAAGTTGGCTTGGAAGCATGATGTAAAGCCGGAGGAGATTCAAGGAGCCTCTGGCTACATCATCTCCCTGAGCATCCTCATCGAGGTATCTTGGGACGGTCTAGAAAAGCCGGCAGCGGATGACACCAAAGCACCACGGGGCGGCACGGCAGGGACTTGTGCCATTTGTGGTGAATCGCGCCGCATCGTCGTTTTGGCACCCTGCGGCCACGTGATGTGCAGCAAGTGCCGGCAGAAGCAGAGCAGCCGCTCCTGCCCATTTTGCCGCCAGCCAGTGAGATGTGTCACGAACGGCCTGTTCCTGAACTGACGGCCGAGAAAATAATGCGGATGAATTTAGCATAGCTTAGTTTCCTGCCAACAAACGAAAACCGTGCTGAATGCAGGCAGCAAACGCAGCAGACCTTGCATGTTTGCAGAAGGCACAAAGGCTTGCCTCTGTTGGGTGGCACCATCTTGTTGCATAAGTCTTGTTCTGAAACTCCATTTCTACTAGCCAAGTCAGAGCGTTCCCTGTTGAAAAGCATGCTGTGCCACCTTGCCGTGTTCGGCTTCCACGATCTTCATGCTTCAAGAGACTGCGCTGCCACTGACTCGACTTTGAAAATCAAATTGTCCTGGCGGAGACTTGCTGGCATGCTGTCACCTTTCCCTTCCTTGTTGTTCGGGAAATTTGTGCTGCATTGCCAGCATTCTTTGACGCAACAGGTTTTCGTGCAGCACCTGGCCTACCTGTTTCTTGACGTGGCCAGGCCACATTACCAAATGGTTTAGTGACATCCTCTGCAGAATCTCGATTGTTTGCTGAAATTTGTGGTGTGCTGGGTACATGTCTAGGCTGTGCAGGCAAAGCAGGATTCACGACAGTGGCTTCTTGGCAAGAAAGAGGGAGCATGCCGGAGTTTGATCATGATGCGGAGGCAGTCCTGCGACGCCACTGTTCCCTTCAACATGGTGTCCGGGGTCCTACCCTGGTCAGTGCTGTGGACCTGCAGACATTATGTTGCCTTTCCCATGATATGACCACCCCTGCTCTAAGGCACTATCTTTTCCGTCATGTGATGTTCCTCAGCGCCCGCGCCTGAGCTGGCAGACTTCTCCACCTTGAATGTATGAGGCGATGCAAGTTGGAAAGCGTACGGCGGCTTCTAGAGCTAAATATGCAATAGATTGTAACAGCCTGAACCTGCCGAACAAATAGCAAAGCGAACACCAAACACATGCCTGTCATAAAGATGAACGCGACATGTGTGAAAATTATCGTTCTGAGGCCCTGGCTATCACAGTCTGGCGCATTGGACTCTCGGCCTTTTCAGCATGCTTGCCACAAGCGCCTTCGCGGGTGTTCCGCTGATATGAAAGGCAAGGCAGGTTGCCGGTCCATCGTGAAGGAGTAATGCTCAAATTCATTCTGACACCTGTCTGTGCGTTGCCCCTCGTCATACGGCACATTGAGAGTTGAAAAGGTAGATCTATCCGCCATTGCGAGGTGATACAGATGTGGGTTAGACGATCCCACCTTGTGCACTGTCAGAACGACGGCAAGTGCTGCATGCGGCATGACATCAGCTTGGGTCATGGGCCCATGACTTCGTCTATGGCATGCAAACATGGAAGCTGGTGAGCTCTATGCTTGCACTGATCTTGCAGTTGCAGCACGTGCATAAGCTGGCGATCGGGATAGATGGCCTGTGGGGTATGCACTTGCAATGTGCGCTCGGTGACCAGTTGAATAGTTCTACACAGGTGAATGGGCTTGATGTCATGCTTGGCGAAGGACTTTGGCCAAGAAGCTTTCTGGGCTCATCGTCATGGGTCCTTTCAAACAAACCCAATCAACCTCCCAATCCACGCTTTCGGTCAGTTCGGTCAGCTCACAACTGCATCAACGCAATGCAGAATGAGCTTGATGGTCTCTTTCGCTGGGGTACTGCGTTACAGCACTCCCTTTTGCATGGACTCCTCAGCAGAGCTCTGGATTTGACGGCTGTGCTGGAGTGCTGGGTGTCGAAAATGCCTATATGCCAACTGACAGACGCTCAAGTGCAGCTGATGCGCAGCGGCATCCAGTTGAGGTTGTGCATTGTCACAGTACAATCAGTACACAAGGGCAGTCGCTCTCTCTACAATTTCACCCTGATGCATTCACGTGCGCTCACTTTGTGCGGTATGCTTCGCTGCTTGTTGAAAAGCTTTCTCGTCTCATCGAAACTACACAGACAGCCCAGCTGAAAATACCCCCCCCTCGCCCATAGCTTCCACGCGCGCAGACAGAGACACGGCAGCAGTTGCATTCAGCAAGGTTCATGACTTGAATTGGATAGCAGGAGTGCTCCTTCCGCAGGTTCACCTAAGAGAAGCTTATTACAACCTCTCCTTCCTCCCTTTATAAGGTAAGGTTCGTGAAGTTTTCTCACGCAACGTCCAGAAGCTCTTGCATATCTCTATATAAATTCTTTGCGGCGTAGTATGCGCGCGCGTGTCACAAGAGAGCTTTGTTTTTAAGGCTCTTGATACCAACCCTTAGCTTAGCCTCCATTTGTATTGAAACGCGTGGTTTGTGTTTGCTGCTTCTTTGTTAGCGTGCGCATAGCCTCCAGCTTCGGCCAAGGAAAGCTGAACTTCTCGATCTACGAGAAGTTGCACAACGCCGCCTTCATCTTACTGGGTTGTGCTTGTACCTCTTGCATCTACAAGTGTTAGCGGTGGATCTGTTGACAGAAGGGTGCAGATGCCTTTGCTCTTGTTGAAGTGAAGCTAGTACCTAGCTTCAGCGTGACTCTTGTGAGGGAGGGCCGACACACCACAAGCGAGGCCGGAGGTGGTCATGCAGCGTACAGCATGCTGCGGCCGATCATTTCGAAGACGGCGCGTGGCATCCAGGGAAGTGCATCGATGTGCGTTGGAATCCCAGGTCATGGACCTTTTGCCCATGAATTGGGCAGATTTGGGTCACTGCCACATGCTCAGAACCGTGCTGGTTGGAGCAGCTCACATCAAACACGTTTCTAGCTTCGGCGGTTCTTCAGCCTGCTGGCCACAGCGTTTCATGATGTTGAAGCTCACACTGGCGATGCTCAACAGAGCCTCTTAGGCCCAAGCGTGGGACAGACGGAAGTTGTGCCCAGCACTTATGCGCAGACTTCTGACAGGCAGTGCTTCCTCTGGGAACGTCGCTGGCCACTAAAAAGCAATGCTTAGGCTTCAACGACAACACATGGAAGACTGGTTTCGATACCTGCAGTCAGGAGCCCAGGTCTCTAGCATGTTCTGGGGGCATATCGCATACTAATTGCTACTAGGTAGTCGGGTTAAGACGTCTCACCTTGTGTAAAGTCGTCTCGCGCGGGCGTGCACATGGGGATTCCGCATACAAGCTCGT